CAGAGATATAAAACAAGGTGGAACTAACATGCAGACTGAACAACAATTTGTATCCGAACCATTTAAAATGGGTAATGCTAGACATTATTATGGATCAAAGAACAAAATGAAAAAATATAATGAAATAAAATAATTACGTTAAGGTTTATGAGTTTGACAATGGCAAGATTTTATGATTTTTGTGTGAAATATTTAATTCGCCAAATATATGTAGTTCTGCCCAAAGACACTGCAAGTTAGCAAATAATAGTATATTTCTTAAGTTTGTATTGTTGGGCTAGTTTATATGCTCTACAATACTACGTTGTGAGAGTATTATTAGTTTGACTAGGCCAAACGTTTAAATCGCCTCAAAATGTTGGTTCTACATGACACATGGAACACACATAGTTGAGTCGATCTAGCTATTTATGGTAATTTATAATTACTCAAGCCATTCTATTTGTATAAAACGGCCGATTTAAAAACTATGGTCTCTAGAAAACCGTTACATATTATCGGTGTCAGGTTGAAGAGCTTTTAACTTTCTGAAATATACAGGGTGAGATGAAAAAACTGCACCCAACTTCAGACTGTGGCTCGTGAGCTGAACTTATCGCAATATTCCATTCGGCAAATATTGAAAAATGACAAAATGAAAAATGACAAATGCAAGAACTTACACCGCAACGGAAAGAAAATAGACTCAAAAGAGCTAAAGAGTTGCTTCGCTTGGTCGAAAGTGGTAAACTGCCGAATTTGGTTTTCTCCGATAAGAAAACATTCGTTGTCCAAGCAGTTTGTAAACAAACAAAATGATCATGAGGTCACCTGAAAATGTGCACTTTCGGTTGGCCACCAGAACTCAAGCGCCGGTCATGGTGACGGTATGGGCCGCCTTAATCGTATTAATCGACCGTGGCATCAGAATAAATGCCGAATATTATCGCGAAAATATTGTAGAGGGTGTATCAAAGCCTTGGGCACGCAAATATTTTGGCCGCAGACCTTGGACATTCTAACAGGACTCAGCACCATTTCACATAGCACGCTCCACCCAAGATTGGTTTCAAAATAAGGTTCCTCACTTCATTTCCAGCGCACAATGGCCACAAAAATCTCCGGATACCAATCCGTTGGACTATTGTGCCTGGAAAGCAAAGTTGGCACCAAAAAATACCAAAGTGTCGACAACCTTAAGCAAGCGCTTCGCCGGGAATGGGTCAAAATACCGCAGAGCAACATTCGGGCAGCTTGTGACGTCTGAAGGCAATAATTCGTGCCAAAGGTGACCATTTCGAACAAATCTAAACTTATTCTAAAATTTGATATTATTTCCGACATTTTTTGCTTTCATTCAATAAAATTAAAAAAATAAAATGTAAATATTATGGCGTTTGACTTTGTTGCAGTCAAAAATTCAAATTTTCAGGAATATGCATTTATTATAGAAATAGTTTGGTAGTGTCAAGAATTACAAAATCAATTTAATAATATGCTAATAATGCTATTTTGGTATGCTTTGATGATCAAAAAGAACTTGTAATACATTTTTATTCTAATAGTCAAACGTCTGAAATTTTCGATTTTTCTTCGAAAACCTTAATAATTTTTAAAAGCCTATCGTTTTTAGGTGACCTCGATACATCCAAAATCATATCAATATTTTCACTTTTGATACAAAAATAATACCAATACATTTCTGAACATTTGGACGAAAAATAAAGCAAAGTCCTGGTATAATTCTCAACATTTTGCTAAATAATATACTCGTACAAGAGCAATAAAATCCAAATCATAGGTGTCTTCAATCGGCTTTTGACTGCTAACTACAATCTAATTGTTTGTAGTCATACTAAGCAAATATTAGGATCATATCGAAACCTCTTGGCTGGGGGTTTTGCTTCAACAACAACAACAATTCAGAATGGAAGCAGTAATTACAAACGTGTTGTATTATAATTTCAACGGAACACATTCAATAGTTTTGGAATATGTACCGTCAACTTACTGTCAGAAAATCTTCCTGCAATTCTTCATCAACTTCGTTAAAGACACCTGGGAGTATTGTAATTATGTACTCTTCGATGCAACAATTTAAATATTTTAGATGGATTAGAGCGGATCAAGTTTGAAGCATTCTTTTCACAAATTGGAACTGATATTACACACATAAATAATTCTTACTTCGAAGGCTCCGACGCTTATATCTGCCTACGATTGAGACATTCCATGTGTTAAAGTTTGCTGTCATCGTTGTAACGTTATCTGCGGCATGTGGCGATGTGCAATGCATCAGTAGATTACTACAGGTGAAATGAGAGTTTCTTGATGTGAGCCTTTCAACATCGATAGTAATCGCCAAAGGTGGGATGCCAAGGATCCACGACTCACAGCTAAAGGAATTACTTATACATGCGCATCCACTGGCTGTTCATTTAAATGAATTCCCATGCGGTTGGCGGTATCACTCGCAACAGTTTCATATGAAGGAGACATTTGGTTTCTTCCTAGTTGCATATACATGCACATACACACACAGAGATAGGTGTAGACGTGTGAGTGTGCTTACATGCGAACTGCAACATGTGTAGATGAAAGCGAATCCACCAATCGTCGTCCGTTGATGTGCGAATAGTTTGAAACAAATTGCAGCACGTCAAAGTGACAGTCAGTATTTCCCGAAGCTCGTTTGTTTATTCTATCGTCGTCAGATCTGTCCTGATGTTTCTGCTGGAAATTGCATTTACTCCCTGCTCTTTGATGGAGGCGAAGAGGCATGAGTGCGAATACATTTGCCACAATGCCACGCAATGTCTCTAACAAAATGCACTGTTCAAACAAGACGTGTGAGTATGTCTGTCGAACTGCTCCTTTGTCCGTCTGTCTACTTTTCGTTTGTTAGTTTGTTTTCCGCCAGTGTTTTAAACTTTGTTTTGTTGAGCTCTTGTCACGGCTTCATCATTTCCATTTTACATTTTACGCATAGAATTCCACCGGGATTTTGCCGACTGATACCGAAACCCACACCTTATTCGAAATTCAGGGGAAAGCATTCATCAGTGCACATCTCATTTAAAACGCGTTAAATTTGTTTATGCAAATTTCAGCTATTACCTTGAAGATGGGAGGGTTTAGTTCCCGTTTCAAAATAGGCAGCATTTTCGGCTGTTGTTGTTTTTGTTCTGATTCTCATTTTTGTTACGCTCTGCCTAAACAGACAACTATAAAATTACACGCCAGGGTGTCATTTACTTTTTGTTCATTAGCAACGCTGTCATTTGTCGAATTTAGTTTGTGATTTGTTTGAAGTGTTCATTATTTAAAGACTTGGAAACACGGAAAATAATTAAATTATGTTCATTTGATTTAAATTCCATTATAGATTCTTCCGTATTATTGGAATAATTAGATTGCAAGAAATACGTTAAAAGTATAGGAAAATGTTTAATGTTTTTGGGCAGATTTGTGCAAATTTTAAGCAATGAAAAATATGCTTAGAACTGCTGGTCTACAACAAATATTGTGAAGAAGTGTCGATTACTTTAAATTACATGTGGTAGGTGTAGCTAACGTGTATGTATTTCTGTGGGTTTGATTTAAATAAAACACCTAACAAACCATGTTTGTTGAACTAAAATAAGTTGTGGAGAAGATTGAGGTCTGACAAACATGGTTCAAATCGGGTTAGATATAGCATCCATCACCGTTTCCTTTTTAAAAACTACCAAACGAAACATCCCATATCAATTTTTAATAATAAACAAGTAAAAAATTTGTAAGTGCGAATTTTTAATACCCTCCACTAATCGGTACTAATTTGGTAAATTTTGAAAAAAAAAGAAAAAAATAAATAAAATTCGTTAATTCTCTTAAAGGATTAAAAATTTCGATTGTAGCCATTATATTACGGTCTATACGACGACGTGGACATGCATATGCAACTTTTGCCATAAGCCATTAAAATATTCAAATGCGAAACTTGAAAAAAATCAATTTTCTGTCATAGGCTATAGTATTCATTATGAACTTTAAATACCAAATTTGAAACAATTCCGGTGAATAATGTCACTAAAATTATCATATACCGAATATCTGGAGGTACCGTTATACGGGGGCTATACGAAGACGTAGACCTGCACAGACAATTTTCTGTCGTAGGCTGTAGTATATGTTATGAACTTCATATACCAAATTTGAAACCTTTCCGGTGAATAGTGTCGCTTAAATCACCAAAATATGGGGGCTAAGCCAAAACGTGTCCCATTTTTAATACCAAAAGTCCTGCAGACATAATACACATTTGAATAAAATGTTACTAACCTACTTCCTTTCGTTCGGGAACTAGAGTGATTTCCACAGACGAATAGACGGACAGGCCAACGGACATGGAAATTTATGCTGATTAAGAAAATATATACATTGTGGGGTCTAAAATGTATATTTCGAGGTGTTTCAAACGGAATGACAAACTTAATATACCCTCCATACTATGGTGGAGGGTAAAAAAACCCAATACATAACTCTGATTTGACGGTTTCCACGTTTTGGTAAAATAAAACATATTACCCCTTTTTTAATCTATTTGTCTATTGTTTATTATTTCCCCAATCATAATTTCCCACTTACAACCAGTTCCCGATTTGTTTTGTTGTTCAGCATTTACAATAAATAATTTGGGTCAACAAATTCCTGTCATAACTCTTTTTGTCGAAGACCCAGAACGACCTAAAAATTATAGTTCAACATATCAGAGTAACAGTTTGAATACAAACCGAGATTATTGTGTGCACATTCTTGGCCAGACTATCAGCATTATTGACGGCAGATACCAGCCAATCGATGGCATATCGACCAACATAAGTATTGAAGGAATTATTTCTTTCTTTCTGAGCCAAAGAAACAAACAAGGTATAAACTTTGCAAACTTTGCTTTGCTGCATATGACCACGAACAGATATCATCAGATATACACATATATAAATAAGTCATACATATGTATATTACATGTGTGTACTTACCAATGTTATTAGGATAGAGAGCTGGCATTGTGCCATCTTGCTGATAACGGGGCGGCGGCAGATCGGAATTGTCTACCAGATATGTTGAAGCTGCTTTTTTACGAGCCTCATCCTGTAAGAAAAAGCAAAAAAAAAGCAAAAAAAAAAAAAAAAATGAACCAGTCAAAATATTATTTTCAAATATTAGCTAGCAGAATTAAAGAGGCATGAAGTTGCCACAAAAGGTAGTTGAAAATTGCATAGTTTTTTTGAGTATAAATTTACATTGGAAGAACAAACTACATCCAAAGAATAGAATGTATGGAGAGAAAAAAATTAAAATTCTACAGATTTCTTTTCCTACGAACATGTATTCAATTGATACTCCGGAATTGAGGAAATTCAAATTCAAATTACTAATTAGGAACTAAAACATGAAAATATAAGTTTCCATCATTAATCACTGCGAATTGTATTTTCCTTTGGAAATGTCGTAAATTAAAATTTATAAAAATATGGCCCGGAATACATATCTTATTTTAATGAATTAGCGAAAGGTATACCAAGTTAAGTCGATTTATTTGATAATGTTATATACAAGGTGAGATTTAAAACCTCCAACCAACTTCAAACTGCTGTCATTTCTAAGCCACTAGTCCGACAGCTTTTAAAATTATTCCAGTGGCAGCTCATTATATTGTTTACAAGCGTACAAAAACATTTTGGTGAGAATTTCCCAGAAAAAAAGTTATTCGTGATGGAATTCAAACGTGACAGTGTGATTCCTTTATATTTCGCTGGAAAACCACAAGGGGCTATCGTTAGAGCACTCCAATATTTAAATGTAAATAAATCTTTTGTGAATCGTACCATCGCTCGTTACTGTGACACTGGTAGCGTAGCCCGACTTCAAGCAAGTGGACGGAAGAAAACAGCAACATCAGCAGAAATTGTTCGAAAATAAAGTGGCCGAAAAATGGCTCGTGAGCTGAACATATCGCAATATTCCATTCGGCAAATATTGAAAAATTACCTCGGGGTTAAACCATTGAAATTCCAAAAAGTGCAAGAACTTACACTGCAACAGAAAGAAGAAGAGTTGCTCCACTTAGCCGAAAGTGGTAAACTGCCGAATTTGGTTTTCTCCAAAGAGAAAACATTCGTTGTCCAGCAGTTTGCAAACAAACAAAATAATTGTGTTTACTTGCCAAAGAGGTCAGGTGAAAATGTGCACCTTCGGTTGGCCACCAGAACTCAAGCGCCGGGCATAGTGATGGTGTGGGCCGCCATAACAGCCGATGGTCGCTCTCCGCTCGTATTAATCGACCATCAGAATAAATGCCGAATGTTATCGCGAAATTATTCTGGAAGGTGTATTAAAGTCTTGGGCACGCAAACATTTTGCCCGCAGACCTTGGACATTCCAACAGGACTCAGCACTATCGCACTCCGAACGCTCCACCAAAGAATGGTTACAAAATGAGGTTCCCCGCTTCATTTCCAGCGCACAATGGCCACCAAAATCTCCGGATAGCAATCCGTTGGACCATTGTGTGTAGTATTTTGGAAAGTAAGGTTGGCACTAAAAAATACCAAAGTGTAGATTCCCTCAAGCAAGCGCTTCGCCGGGAATGGGCCAAAGAACCGCGGAGCAACATTCGGTCAGCGTGTGACGGTTTTATTGGCCGTTTGAAGACCATAATTGGTGCCAAAGGTGACAAATTCGAACAAATCTAAACATATTCTAAAATTTGATGCTATAAAAAAATTATGGCGTTTGACTTTTTTGCAGTTTTTTTTATCTCACCCTTTAAATTTATGGATTTATAACTGCAATTTTTTTTCACAAAGACTTAAAACCCAATGTAAACTACATTAAAATCCAAATTAAGTGACCCCTATTTTGTTAGTTCCTTCTTTCTATATATATTCTCTCCCCTTTTGGCAAGTTGTACTTATTGCTTTGCAATATCACTTTTTGTCGGCGCTCATAATGTTCATTTTGTTCAACAGCAACCGGAGAGAACACTTCATGCTTTCCATAAATATTAAAGCTGATGGAAAAGTATGCTTCATATTGTCCACTCGACTGTTCTCGGACAAACAGATGCAAACACTCATAAGCGCCTTAACGTAACTCGTCCTAAATATTGACTTTTCCTCTTCTTTTATCCTTCTGTCCCTCTGTCCTTCTTCGTTCGTCATTGATAAATCTTAATTATTTCTTGAATTGTTGTTGCTGTTGTTGTCGTTGTTATTATTGAAGTTATTTCAATGTATAGCTGTTGTCTTTTTTGTCCTTGTTGTTGTTGCTCCTCTTGTTTTTCTGTTTGTTTATGTGAAATGATTAATTATGAAATGTTGTTTGACCGTTCAGTAAGTTCATCTCGTCCAAATCCCCTCTCTGCTATTCCCTTTTGATGCTCGGTCGTTTTTTCTTTCAATTTTAATGAATTTTGTGTTTTGCCTCCTCGCTACATTTCTCTTACTCCAATATCGGAAAACTGTTATGCCAGTTTTTTTGCCGGTTTTCTTTGAAACCTCATTCACTGAATGGATGTTGATGATGTCTCTTTATTCCCACTTAATTTTCGAGCATATTTGCCTTGACGTTGTCATACTCTTCGTTTATTTTTTTATAGTTTCGTTCTTCTATCTCGGTTATTATTCATAATTATTTTCGTTCTAATATTTCTTATAAATGTATATGTGTGATAGTAGTCTAGAATTGATATTCTGCTCCACTTTTCGTCTTTTAAATTTAAATTGAAAACACTTCTGGAATAGTATTATAGTAGACAATGGAAGTTAGTGGTCAGAGGAATGGAAAATTGCAATAAATGGTTCGATTGTCCTATAGGAATGAATATAATATCGAACTTCTGTACTGGATCTTTGAATTTGCGTGGTAAATGTTTTTGATGTTCGGCTGCAGATGAACAATATCATTCAGAATTATTCCCTTAATTTATTTTATGATTATTTCATTTAGCGCTAATTAGTGTTATTAATTTGTTAAAGTCTAGACAAATTTTAATACCCTCAAATATCTACCTATTAACTGGTATTAATAAACAAATTGGCCTAATTGATATTGGATAAAATTCGATTGTCAGCGCCTAAAGCGGGTGAATTAAATTTCATACTTAGTTTTTATTTGCTTTAATTTAACGTTGACGATTTAGGAATAGAGGAAGGGGACCAAAATAAATGAAATTTGTTATGCAATACACGAATGATACAATAAAAATAGAAACATATATCATTTGTCATTGCTGCTGTACACAAAATTAACTTTCACCAGAATTTTGTTACGGCGGATGTTGTTAACCGATATCGCTCCGAATGATGTGGCCCCGAGTTTGATTCATCAAAAAATCTAATCCGGCGTTTAAGATTTATGCTCGAAGGCCAAGAGTAATAGGCAGTCACTAAGACAAGTGACAGATGACGATTCAACACAGTCTATACTCAATTACAAAACAATGACTTATGTTCGGAGGAAGATTTCGGTGGGACGGACATTTGGAGGAGAATCATTAAATTGATGTAATCAACTATGCAGTGGCAGCAGCATTCAGTCAACAGCTACTCATCAACATTTTAAAGATTCCGAACAGCAAAGGAAGCATGAGAAGCTAACGGATATAAGAAAATAAGAAAGATAGTGGTATTTCTGGCGGGCTGTCTGGCTGGAGGTAGTCAGCGTAACGAAATGGCAGACAAACAGTCAGACAAAGGAATCGTGCCCAACATGGAGACCAAAAAATTTTATGAGTTACGAATGTTGTTTTGATTTCGATGGTAAATTTAACGGAAACAAATTCAGATGAAATGACACGCCAGCAGCATTATCATCAACAACAACAACAAAAACAGCAGTAACATCCACTAAAACTCAAATAAATGAGCATTTCAACGTCTCCTTATAATTAATCACATGCCACCGCTTATCCAACATGATTTAGAACTAACAAATCGTTTGGAATTATTATAATAATTTATTATTTTAATCTTGAGTTGGAAGATTGTTGGTCTCGATGTGTGTGTATGTGTGTGTGTTTGTGTGTGTTATCGTTTCTTAAGTCTATCTGTGTATGTTCGAGATCTGAACAATATTCCGGCATTTAAATTGCAAACGTTGTTCTTATGTATGGTGTACGTGGAGCATATTTGTTGAAGAGCTAAGCAATCATCACTCAGTTATTTCTTCTTTAACATAGATAGCCGTCTTTGCTCAGGCATTTGCCAGCTATCGAAATGAAATATTAATGCAGTACTCTTGATGGTTTTCCATGGAAAATTCTCAAATCAATATTCATGCAAATATCGTATTGGCCATTGTGGTTTCTCATCTATAAGAGTTTTCTTTAAATTCGTGCAGGTTCGTCATTTTCGAGTATTTGGATGTTAGTTTTATTACTTGCTTTGAAACTACTCATTATTTCAGAAGTGTCTTTTGTGTTTTATTTTCATTTCTCAGGAAAAAACCAAAAAATCGATTCACATTTTTAATTTAATATCTTAATTTTAGACCATGATCTAACAACGGGAATATGCCAAAAAATTGATATTTCAAAACTCCACACACACTAATAAAATTATCTTTTTATGCCGGGAATATAAGCCCCCCCCCAAATTTTCGCCTAAGCGCCTGATTATTTTGAGAGTACTTTCCGTGATTGTGAAGACTTATGAGCCACAATTAATCTATGGTTATGCTGTGGTCTTATCATAAAATATCTCAAATGGCAAAAATGAGGCAAATACACATTTGGCATTCCCTATGAATACCGTCTTACATCTCATTTGAAACATTTAGCAATGGCTCATTTTTTTCGGTTTCATTGAGGAATAAATAAGCGACTTGCCACGAAATGAATTGTGCGCATTAGGTATTCACATCAAATCTAATAGCTCTCTAGACGCAAAGTGTTTCATTTAGATTGTTGTTTCAAGCGTTTTACTTCATTTTCATGATGGAAGCCATGCAAAGAGTTTGGTTAATTGTGAAAGATACAGTTTGTATAGATAATCGCTGAAGGGAAAAATAAAATATTAATATGATATCCTTATATTAGGAAGAGAAAAGGAGTTTAGAGAAACTTTTGAGGGTTAAATAATTCGTTCTTTTTCAAAACTGGACTACCATTAGGTAAAAAATTTGCTCTACTAATTAATATTTTTTCAACACTTCACCATTAAGAAGATCAATTTTTTAGAGGACCTTAAATTATCAAGTAAAGGAACTTTAAAGATTTCAAAAAAATTCTTCGAAAAATTCCGCTTAAGTGAAAATCATTATATGTGGGCTTTACGAAAAGAAGGACCTGAATAGACAAAAAGAAGGACCGTATCATTCCATTGTAATACAAATTAGGAACTTCAAATACAAAATTGGAAACAATTCCGGTGAATAATGTCTCTAAAATCATCATAATACCGAATATCGGGACGTACCGCTATATTGGGGCTATACGAAAACGAGGACCGACATGGCCCATTTACGAACTTAACTAGCCTACTGGCAAAATACACAATACGAATTTGGCATTCTATCTAAATTCGTTCGAAAGATAGCGTCATTTCAACAGACAGACAGACGGACATCGATAAATCGACTTAGAATTTGACGCTGATCCACGATATATATACTTCGTTGGGTCTAACATGCTTCATAGAATATTAGGGGGTATAAAAATGTTTTGTAAGAAAAATACCAAAATGTGAATTCACTATTTTAAAACTGCTAGAAAACTGTGATGTAGTTAAAATGAATGGAATTGATTCAATTCGACCGGTTGTGAAGTGTATATATACTTTTTCACGGATGAGATGTATACCTAACTCCAATAAGCATTATCAATACAAATACAAACTTATACAACCTTAATTTTTGGATACGTGCAGCGAACTGTTTGTGTGAAAATGTTGAAAATAAACAAACAATAGATATCGAACATCTACCATTCCAGTTAGAATTGTGCCAATCTATTTAATCGAACGAACATCTCTAGTCCTGTATGATAAATGTACGTATGAGTGATATGCAATATATGAAATCACTCATACGAACTATGAACTCGAATGACGCAACTCTAATTCCAGTCTTCACTAAGGTAATGGTATCGCGGGATTTCATGATTTTTCTGCCCTGCACGATGCATGGTATGGATGGTATATTATGTTTGTCATTCCGTATGTAACTCGTAGAAATTATAATTAAACACCCAACAAAATATATACATTTCCGATCTATGCAAAATTTTAAGACTTTTATATGTACCTCTTTCCGTCGGTGGTAATCTTTTTTAAGGGTAGAAGAATATGGCTATAATGTTGGTAATTTTGGCATATTATGTCTTCAACCTCTCAGGTAGAAATAAGTCTTTATATCTTTAGAAGTAGTATGACTTAGTGTATTTTTTCGGATCATGTTAGAGTCGCAAGGCCGTCTTTCAGTATCTTCCAAAATACACCATATAATCCTATAAGTTTCCTTAATTTGTGGAAATAAACGTTTAAATGCGTTTTTAGCAAAATCCGAGTTTTGGGATATTGCTATTTTCACTAATTGAAATTCCGGCAGGAATTAAATGTCACTGCGTGTACACCGCAGAAAGTTATATTAAGGGAATCTATCCCAAAAATATTAGTGATGTGTAGCATACTAAAAGCACTGGGACCTGTTCGAATATGTGGACATTTATATGCAATTTTTTTCAAAGGCCATTACAATATTAAAATACGAAACTTGAAACAATTCCGGTGAATAATGTCGCCAAAATCATCAATATATCGAACATAGGGAGGTACCCTTTAAAGGAAGGCAACACGAAGACGTAAACCTGATTAAGAAATTTTCTGCCACAGACGGTAATACCCATTAGGAACTTACAATACGAAATTTAAAACAATTCCGGTGAATAATGTCACTAACATCATCAAAATACCGAACATAGGCAGGTACCGGTATTTGGGTTCTATATGAAGACCTTGACCAGCATATGCCAGTTTCTGTCATAGTTTTCAATTTCTATAGAATTTCAAATTCCAAATTTGAAACATTTCCGGTGAAAAATGTGTCAAAAATTATCAAAATACCGAATATTTGGAGGTATACTTATATGGTAACTATACCAAAACTTGGACCTATTTTGACAGTTGACAGGACGTTTCTTACATAATGGGAACACATGCTGCCAATTTACAGCGGATTCGGGCTAAAATTGTGACTGATCAATAATATATATAATTTATGGGATCTAAAATTTATATCTCGAGATGTTACGAACGGAATGACAAACTTAATGTACCCTCCATACTATGGTGGAAGGCATAACTAGAAGATATATTAGTCATAGGATCTCAAATTTTGATAAGTAATTAGTTAAATTCTGCTCCCATATAGAATATTAATTTTCAATCAGGAAAATTCTCCTTTATTTATATTACGTTTTGAAAAAAGAAAAAAAAAACTAAAAAATAGAAATTAAAAAAAAAATATTCCTGAATATATAATATTGTTTTTTTTTTTTTAACATAATGTATATAAATGTATATAAAATATATCATGTACTTACAATGTAATCGCCTTGACTGCCATCATTAGAATACGATTCGCTTTTCTCCGAAACGCTTGACAAGGTTTCGCCGGTAACTGTGTCGTTGTATGAGCTGGGTGCATACATTTCAATTGTTGCCGTTTTTCCAGGTTGATTTGCTGTTTCAGCTGTATTTGCAAAGAACAAACGTGTCAAATGCGTTGCACAACCGTATATGTGATCCCCACGGAGTATAAATATCAACACGGAGAGTAGTATGGTTAAAGACATATATTTATGCCGATAATTTAGGAATACGGAATGTTCATATATTATATATTTTTTTTTTTTTTTGTCCACGATATTTCCATTTGGAGGGGAAACACATAGAAAAAAATACCCTCAAATAAAAGATGCAAAGATAAATTCGTGAAAAAATAATATTGGGTAAAAATGCGCATTCAATTATTTTTGGGGTGGTAAAGAGGCGGTAGGTGTGCAGCAGGACAGGTTAGGATGAATACGTACGTGGGAGTTTTAAATAAGAGCAGCAGAAAATGACATAAAAAACAAAACGCAAACAAGTGGCATAATCACCATTGGCCATTCAGGTATTTTGGGTAGTTTAAATACAAATGCCATAAATAAAAGAGCAATGATGGCGTTGTTTTTATTGGCATATCGGCATTTTTTCACAGCACCATTGGAGGTTGCAACGTGGCGAATAGTCGCAAATGTGATGGCGTAAATGGGAAGAAGTGTGTATTAAAATTTATGCGATTTCAAGCATTTCCCATGGCAAAAATTTGAATTCCGGTCGGTTGTTTCAAGTAATTTGTCATATTTTCGTTTGATGTTAATATCATTGTCATATCGTGAATAAGTGCATGTGCATAATACGTGTTCGTCGGAGTATGTGTGTGTGTGTGAGCGCGTGTGCCAGTGAAGGCATTTGTCCATTTGGATAAATGCAATAAAAACGTCACACATGCAAACAAACAAGGGTAAATAAAATACAAAACATGTGAAAACACAGCAGAACAGCAAATAAGTGTGTGCGGGTGTGTGTGTGAATTTTTTAACATTTTAATGCATTTTATTAATATAAATGCATTAACGCATGGCGATAGTGTTGATGGTAATGATGGCGATGTCGATGATGATGACGATGACGATGGCATGACGGCAATAATGATGAGGGCAACAACGAACAACAGCGTTGACGATGAGTAAAATTGCAATGGTTACAATTGCGTTTTCATATACCAGTATGCAAGTGTGTGTGTGTGTGTGTGTTTTAACCCCCAACAGTTAGTTAGTAACCAACACCAGTACAAGCCACAGGGTTACGCCACAAATCGTTGCAACGACAACGTTGGTAATGGCGTTGATATTCCAATCCGCCATGCGATTACGATTGCGAATGGAAGATGACGATGTTGATGGCAATTATGTCGATGATGATGATGATGCGGACGATGGCGATGATGACGATAACATCACGGAGTCGGGCACATTCAATATTGCGGTGATTATTAACAGTTGTCATCACAGTGATATAGTATTTGCATCGGGCCATTTTGATTTTTAGCATTGTTGGCATTTTTGTGTTTTGTTTTATTACAGCCATCAGCATGATTCATTGCGCAACCAATCCATTCGTTCAGTTGGCATCATAGCCCAGCAACAGCATCCACAGCAGTTCAGGAACAACAATCGGAGACAGATGAAGAGGCGAGTAAAATAGAGAGAGGGGTAGAGGGAGGGAGAGAAAAAGAGAAAACATGAGTATATTGTTTAAAATATTGTATTGCTGCTGTCCGAAAAATAGACCATTTGAAAAACTTTATACATTTGGTTAGCAATTTACTCAGGCATTACACCATAAATTATCAAATGACAAATGCATGCACTTCAATTAACCAAGCAAGCAGTACATTTAGTCAATATGTTTCTCCAAAACAAAAACAACACATTTTAATATCAAAAAATAAAAAAAAGTTGAACGAAATCTTTAAACTACCATTATTGCTAATAATACAGGCATTTATCATAAATCTTGCAAAAAGTGTAGTGTCATAAATATTACAGTATTAACACATATACAAACACATATACCTTGACGGCCACATACAATAGAGTTTTTGTCATAGCTGTAATTTTATTTAAAACTTTGCCTTTACAGATACTTACATTTGCAAACTTTCGACAGATATGAGAAAATTCTATAGAAATAATAAATGTATTTCGAATTGAAAATATATATATTTTCAATTTAATAAATTTCTATGAACCAATCGCAAAAAAAAAAGAGATAGATACCAACCTAAACATGACATCCACATACATATAACCACCAGCACACGCACACACCCAGTTCATATTATACCCACTCATACAGATAAAGCACAGAATGATTGGAAGCTATACGATTCAATATCAATTTAATTTAATCAAATAATTCGTTAAGAGCAAAAATTCGGTCGTTTTCTTTGTGCCATCCATCACATTGTATTAAAATCCTGGCAAGTGGTGTTCTTTTTTTTTTTTTTTTGCTGGATGGCCAACGACAGCAGCAGCGGCAACAACAATAAAAAGGGAAATCAATCAATTTAAAATTGTTCAAGCGCACACCCACATACCCACACAACACACACACAAACACCAATACATAAATACAACAAGCCATATACTTCAGCTTGTAAACATCCATTAAACTTTTTTATTTTGATTCTCTGAATATTGTTGTTGTTGTTGTTGCTGTTTTCGTTGTAGTTTAGATAAATTAGTTGAATTGAATTGCAAAAAAAAAAAAAATAAATAAATAAAAAAGTAGAAGAAATCCATTCAGCCGATCCAGGGACTCTCCATTCCAGCATAACTGCTACCCCACCGGCCTGCCCTCAGTGTAATACCTACGACTATCCATATGTTTTCTATGGACTTCTCCGTCGGTTTTGTATCAATAATAAATTAAATAGACATTTATCTTTTAAGTTCAGATATCCATCTTCCGAATAGCACAAAAGAAAAAAAAAATAATAACGAAATACACACTTATCTCGGCAACTACATGTTGGCTTTACACGAACACACACAAATGGACGGATAGACAAATAGCCTTTTTTAATGTGGTTTTTTCGCCATTGATGAGGTTTTGTCAATAATTTGGAAGCGCGAAAATGGAAGGGGAATTTTTCCCAACAGAAAGAAGTTTATGTCTTTTGAAATAATAATTTCTTGTGGCATAACAAAAGTTTGCAAAGCGTTTTAAGTTGTAATGAAACATTTGTCAGTGGGTTAAAGCAGACAACAAAAAATGAATTGCTATTATTTCTTTTATGAGGCTCAAATTTAATGAGGTCTTGATATTCAATACCCGATTTTTCGATAAATAAAATGATATTGCCGGGTTCGAAGGAGAACTATCCTTCGCGAAAAGGCACAATTCACCAAAGAGAAAGAAAAGAAATAGAAAACCAATCCAAGCTAGAGCAAAAAAGAGTAATGATCTTTGAATCCCTTGAAAGAATCTCTCGCAGATGGAGCCTTTCGAATCTCTTGACAATCTACTTGAAGGAATAATAACACAAAACTAAATAAAAAGTCTAATTAAAGCCAACTTGTTCATAAATAGTTTGTTACCCAACAAATGTACTGCAAATTCTATGAACAAAATCAGACGAAACGGTTAAAGCTAGAATCTTACAATTCTACATGTGGAAAGTCTTGGAGAGTAGTCGTGTGTTAAGGCTGGGTTTTTTTTTTTTTTTTTTTTTTTTTGGAAATTCTTGCTTAAATAATACGCAAAGTACTAAAAATTGAATACTTTGTATTGGAAAAACGGTAAGAGCTACAATTTGGCTAGGAAATTTGGAAAGAGAGTCACTGAGGAAGTGCAGGATAGATGTACCAAAGGGGTTTTGGAAATTCGAACTGTAAGGTTATGAAAAGACCCAAAAGTTAACGAAAGTTAATGGTTAACACTGGTACCATTTGGTATTATGTGAAAGGAGAGAGCTAAAAAACTTGAAATTTGGCATGAGAATCGAGGTGGGAAAGAAAGAAAGTTTGACTCATGAAAGTGAGGAGTACTAAGTGTGCGAACTGTACTAAAGGGTACTAAATTTGAAACAGTTTGGTTGAGGGTGAACGAATGAAGCTGGAATTTTGAAATTATGTATTGGGGTCCCTGTTGGTGGTGGATTTGTGATAAAGAGGTGGTTTTGTGATGTGTACTACAAGTGCCTGAAAAGTACTAAATAGTACTATATTTAGCACAATTTGATATTCGGCGAACAAATAGTTCTTGGAATCTGAAATCTGATATTAGGATCATAGTTCATTAGTAGCCTGGACATTTGGAGGTGGTTTTGGGAATATATACTATGAGTGTACGAATAGTACTGAATGGTACTAAATTTGGCATTGGGTAAAGGGATAGGGCTGGAATCCCGAAATTTGATTTTGAGATTTCTCTTGGTATCTGGAATAGTGATATAGAGGTATAGGTTTGGAAATGTGTAATTGTACGAAAAGTACTAAATTTGGTATTGGGTGAAAGAATAGAGCTGAAATCCTGAAATTAGATGTAGATATCATTGTTAGTATCTGTGGTTAAGATATGTATTTGGTTTTGGAAATGTGTACCATAATTGTTCGAAGAGCATTAAGTGTTACTTAATTGGGTATAGGGTGAGAAAAGGAGCAGTTTTTAGATATGTGTGCTATAATTGTACTAAATGGTACTAAAGCTAAAATCCTAAAATTTGATATAGATATCACTGTTGCTATCTGGTATTGAGATCTGGTGGTAGTTTCTTGTATATGGTACTAATTTTGAAATACTCTTGTTGTCTTGCATGGAGAGATGTAGATTTTTCTGGGTATGCGTACTAAATGTTACTAAATTTGATATTGAACAAAGGGATGTGCAGAAATTTTGATACTAAGTTCACTGGTGGTTTCTGAAATCGTTTTGAAATTTACAATTAAGATAACGCACACACACAAATAGGTACAATAGGTGTCCGTGAAAAAATTGCGACATGGCTGTCAGCTTCTAATTGACTGTTATGTCAATTTTAAAGATTTTCCATATCATTTTGAAATTTTTGCTACATTTTAATGTCTGCCCTTATGGCATTTAATACCGTCAACATTCTGTTGTAATATACCGTCTGGACCT